GCATGTCTACATGAAGTTATCTAATCAGTTCATTCTGTTTGTTCAGAGTGGCTATTAGCCACTCATTTCAAGTTAAGAGCTGAAAATTCAGAACAATATTGAATTTGATACTCAAATTTTGATTGGATAATTAATGCATGAAAAGTTTACACCACATCTAGCAAAAAAATGAAAGGTTTGGAGAACTTGCTTACCTTTGTCAGTGCAAAGTGAAACATAATCTGTAACCTTGAACATTGTTGCTTGAATCGGTTTGATGTTTTTAAGCCCACAAGCTCTGGCCCTCGCAGCCTTTCATACTTTGTTTACACTGTAAACTTGATTAATGTGCAACACAACTCTCTCTTCTCTCAAAGGCATCTTAAGTATGTTTTTGCATGCAGTAGAAACCCATGTGCTTACAGTGTAGCTTTCCAAATGTGATAAAACCTTTTGGTCATCAATCCTGTTAACACTTAGGGCTGGTTCACACTTTGACATAAGCGTAAGCATAAGCATAAACATACATGTAAGCATAAGAAAAATATGTGTGAACCGGAGTTACATAAGCATAAGCATAAACATAAGCGTAAGCACAAGGAATGGAACTTTTTTCCATTTTCTTATGCTTATGTTTATGCTTATGTTGTGAATACTTGAGTGTGAACCGGGCATAGATAAGCATAAGTGTAAGCATAAAGAGTTTTCTTGTCAGCGGAATACACAAAAATAAAATCCAGGCCTGCTCTGTCAGAATCTGTCAGCTGGAAACATGGCGATGCAGGTGAACGAAAAGTTGGCGGAATCTGTCCGCAATTATCCTTGTTTGTATGGCAAAATAAAATTCTGTCTCTCAGTTTTAATTCTTGTACAAGGTTATAATAATCGCCTTGTGCCTTTCTTCTCGTAAAAATATCTGTTATCAAGACCTTTCTCGGTTTTCTTTGTGTTTGTCTTTGCATAAGCAATCTTCTTCGATTTCTACAGCTTAACAGTAGCAACAATCCAATTTTGACTTCATTATCCGCCATCTTTGATTCCTGAGAGGTGAACTGCACCTGCGCAATAGCCATCCTTATGCTTATGCTTATGTA